CCCTCCGGCCGCCGGGCCTCAGTTCCTGCCACTCGCCGCCGAAGGCCCTGGGGTAGAGCATCACACGCCAAGCAGACAAATGTGCTAAAATGACTATTTACACAAGTCAGAAAGGAGGACGGCATGTAGGAGGCAGCCCCGCCCCCTCCGGCCGCCGGGCCTCAGTTCCTGCCACTCGCCGCCGAAGGCCCTGGGGTAGAGCATCACACGCCAAGCAGACAAATGTGCTAAAATGACTATTTACACAAGTCAGAAAGGAGGACGGCATGTAGGAGGCAGCCCATTGATGGTCCTCATAGATGTTTCTCTCTACAATCAATCAAAACGTATTTCAGAAAGAAAAAGAGGATGTGATAAGGAAAGTACTCAGGGTTGTCCGCTGCTTGTGATAAACTAATTCGGCCAAATGTCAGGGTTAACAGGAAATGGTACCCACCAAGTCCTCCCCAAAGCAGGACTGGAGAGTTTACTGCTCAAGAACAGAAAAAGCAAATTTCCCCAAAGAATAGCTATGACTTGGGCTTTTGAAAACAGTGGATCAAGTCTCAAAGATCAGATGTTCTAGTTAAGCAATTTTCAACCTTTTTTGTCTCATGGTACACATAAACTAATTACTAAAATTCCGTGGCACACCAAAAACTTTTTGCTAATCTGACAAAATAGGTTAGAGAAACACGGATTTACTGTTTCACTTACCTAATCTATGCATTCATTGGCTGATTCTTGTATGTGCCCTGACTAGAGATTGAACCCACAACCTTGGTGTATCTGGACAATAATCTGTTTTCCAGAACATTCTATATGTTCTGTATTTTAAACATATATAACTAAAACCTATTAAGCTAATTTTTGTTTTGTTGTAAACAAACTACCCTCCAACAGGAAATAAAATTAGAATTTTCAGGTGGCCTTGAATTAAACATGGAAATAAATGAAGACTTTATCATTATATTCCTCTATTTAGGTACCGGTACCTGAAGGAACTTGACACCGGGAACTCTGTTGAAACTTCTGCCCATCCTACTTCCTTTTTGAGAGTGTTTTTCCAATAATTTGCATTTCCGTTAAAAGTGTTTCATTCATCCAGTCCCTTTAACCATGAGAGCTAAAACATTGACATTTTTCATCTGAACTTCTAATGGTTTACTTTGGAAAGTCAAAACTCTGAACTGTATGCAAGCTTTTGGGTCCATGTATGTATTTTTCTGGAGGGGTCAGAAAGTCATTGTGCTATGAGTAAACAAGTTTATGAATTTTAATGTATGGATGGGTTATGGAGTTAAGAACAGAGATACCACAAGCAGAATATTTATACATTTATTTATAATGACATTATGGTCTAAATATTTACAACATATAGGAAACCAGAGGATACGTTTATACAAAGCCAGCCTGCAAAGTATTCAAATGTGCAAAAATGACAGTTCAGTATCTCAAACTACTGATTCAGCAGACTAGCTCCTTCACTTTCACACATTAATATTTGATACAAAAAAGTTCTTTTGGTAAAACTGTAATGCCAAGAAAAAGGACAAGTTGCCATTTCAGTCACTAAGTCCACCATCCTATTAGGAGCAGTCAAGTCTCTCTATTTTAGCTGCAACAGTTCTGAGAGAGACAGACCACTGTGTTTCATTTCTATGATAAATTCTGGCCAGCTTTTGATCAAGTAGTTTTCTGACCCAGTTGAAGACAAGAGCTTAGAAGAGCAATAAAAACAGCAATGGCTATCTGAGACAAGTGTGCCTGAAGGTGCCAGCTTTGGATCATTCCCCCAAAAAGACACAATAAAAAAAATAACTTCATTTTCTCACCCAGGATCCAGCTATACCTGACAATTTTAAACTAGTGAAACAGCACTTGCCAAAACAGAAAGAACCCAAAAATGGAATAGGAGTGAGGAATCTGTAGATTTAGTACTGAAAGGAAAAGATGGTCTTAAAATCATTTCCCTACTAATAAATAGTAAGGCTTGGTTTGTAACAAGTTATTATCAAAATTGACCAAACAGTAGTAAAATACAAATAAAACTGTCTACATCAGAATAGGGGTTCTTCATTTGGAAAGGCCAGACCAGGTCAAATGTATACAGGAATGACCCCAATGGAATGCTGCGTTGAACAGCACATTTCACCGAGTGTTAAATAAAAAAGCTTCTGAGTCAAATTTGTGATCCCACATAAATTTTAACAGATGCTATGCCACTGAAGAAAAAAGGATATTTTAAAAAGAATGAAAGCCTTTTAAGAAAGGAGACACTGCACCTCTAACTTCTGCCAAGGTCCACGATGGTTCCCAGTACAGGCCAAAGTCTTGTTAAATCAAATGCATGCATTATTGCTAAAGAAGAGTCACCGAGGGTCAAAAAAGTCTGTTCCACTGTTTCCTACGGGGCCATCCAGAATGGCATCTGTTGTTTAGCTCGTGGTTGTGATGAAGGGAACTGATATCCCAAACTCCAGCCCTGTGGAAAGCTACTTGCATTTTTATGGCCCCCGTGTTCCTCCTCTTCGTCAGATGAATCTGCAGCATAAGCCACCAAGCCAAATCCCTTCTCTGTGGTTTTCATCTTCTTAACTGGATAATCTAGAATAGAGAAAAACAACCCAAACCCCATTCCCCGCCGAGAAAAAAGATAATACCATAAATTCGTTAATTAAAAAAAAAAAAAAAGATGTTAATTTTAAGTGGTTAGTTGGACGCCATTTTGAGGTCACAGGGTCAGTGGTCACCCAAATGCGTTGAAGGTCACACGAAAAACAGCACCAGCATCAGCAAATGTGAATCCACCAGAACCATGTAAGAAAACAGAGAAAGAAAAAAGAAACACACACACACAAAAAAAAAAAGAAAAAAAAAAGAAAAAAGGAAAGTTAGCAAGGGCATCTTTTGAGGCCGATACTTCACCTTTTAAAGAGTTTAAAGAAAAGAAAAAAATTAATTTTCTTCTGTTCATTTTTATTAGGACTAAAGGGAAGGAACAAAAATGTTCCCATGTACCTCTACAGGATTTAAGAGTTCTGGGATACTAAGAAGCAACCTTTTTTTTATAATAGCCACAGGCTGACCATTCCCAACCAACAGAGCTATGAGAGGAGACATGGCTCAGTTCCCAATACAAAAATATTGATCTTTAATTCTGTTTCAGATTACCTCCAAGTATTTAGATAACAAGGCAACAAAATTTTGAAATGACCTACCAATCATTAGTATTTCCTAGGGTTTTAATGTCACTGATGTTATGTATAAAATATAAGTCGACTGACTCTTTTCTAGACACACGTCGGTTGAAAATAAAATGCTGTGTAACTATATGCTGTCCGTATGAATAAAAAGAAAAGTTTTTTCATTAGATTGTAGAGGTTGGATTAAACACCTAAATGTATCGCACCTGAATGAACATCAGGTTAGAAAATTAATAGCTTAGCACCAGTCTTAGCCACTCCCTTAGTCCCCCCGTTATACCTTACTCACCATGGCTCCCTGTTAAGGTCCCAGACCCATTCCTTTCATCAGACTCTGTTTTTATTCCAGTCACTGGAAAGGCTGGTGGAGGCATCAACTGCCTGTTAAAAAAGAAACACTCTTTCAGACAAATTCAATCAATTCTAAATTCTCCTATAGATAAGCAGGGGAATAACAATACAGTTTGCAGATAACCTTTCAAGTTCACATTAATTTCAACCTTCAAGCTGTTTTCAAGTTGTAAGATTATGAGGCTTTGTCTACATAAACAGAAGGCCATGCCAAAAACAGAAGGAACTGTTATGGGAAGTGAGCTCCCTCATATGAAGGTTAATAATGACAGAGGGAGAATCCAAGCACTAGATGGCAGGCTTGACTCGGGTTCAAGTACCTCCATCCATGATACTCGATTCTAAGTAGCAAAATGGCTTGATTGTGTAACTACTACCTACCCTTTAAAAAAAAATGGCCAAGATACAGGTACAATGAAAGTAAAGGAAGATGACTGAATAAGCAAGCATGGAATTATTCAAAGCTAAGTATAGCTGCGTCTAAGACTGGGGAAGTTATATCATTGTATTTTCCATTACTGCATCAACTACAACAGGAACTTGTTTGCCCAAGTGATTTCATTTCAGTATTAGAACATGGAAACTTGTAGCAATGATCATTATTTACACTAATGGTACAAATGACATATGAATATCTATACTAAT